TCATTTCCCGTTCACAGTGGCGATTGTAGTGATAATATAAGGATTACATGCGAGTCGAATTATTCATGACTGTCGAGTCTGCGAGTTCGCTCGTACGGACTCGAACGGCCCATTGAGTGCCCATAGGCGCTCAAACACATTCAGAAGCATCGAGAAAAAGTGCCACAGAGAAACTGGAACCCAGTGTACGTAGGAATAGGTACTCATCGTTTCAAACTGTTACAGATCCTCCACCGACACCTCGATGGCCACTGAAGCCAGCGCACCATCGCCCAACAAAGGCACAACCTCCCGGAGTCTCGTACAAGTCGTGCATGCATACCGTTAAGCACGAAGGGATTGATTAGTGGAAAGCTCAAGGCAGCGTATCTATAACAACGATGTGGTAACTAAAAATCGAGCGATAAGGCATGGGATAGGTGAACGGGCGTCTAAGTGAATGACGATAAACGGCAGTCCTGCCCTTATGGTCAGAAGAACAAAAGCGGCCGCCATCCGAGCCGCTGTGGTATGACGAAACTATACTGCTGACACCACAGGTAACGGCTTTGGTCATCATGGAACGTCCACTGGGCTGTTTCGGATTGAACGGAGACTGATAACGCAAGGTGGATGGGCTGCACGAGGGAGGATAGTGGAGAAAAAGGGAGAAAGCGTCTACGCTTTACATAAGGACGTTGTATATCAGTGATGTTGACACTTATCATCAAACTAGGCCACGCCATAAAGACAGCGAAATGTGCACGAAAACCGATCTCATTCGCTATCAAGCTTAGGAATATCTATTACGTGTAAGTCTAGTAGTAATCACCAGAACACGACAGTATATAAAAAGGCAGTAAAAATTATTTCAAAAAAAAAACATATTCACCAAACAGGAGCATGTCAACAAGTGCTCCGAGAGCCAGTGCCTCAATCGGGTATCTACCGGTGGCCACTGTCGTGTGTGTGTCACTATGCGATATGAGCAAATGTGGCTAAGAATGAAATAACTTTGGTAATTATTAACGTTCTTGACGTTTACACGCCGCATTTGCTCTGACCATTCTCCAGAAATGGCCTAAACGTGTGTAATTAAATAAAAAAAAACAAACAAACAACTATCAGAAACAACAAAAAATAAACCTCTTTAGCACCCCCTGGTAACACTTTCCAAGTGTATGAAAGACAATTAGCCCTAAAAATATCAAAACTAAGATTTCTAGGCAGCGGCACAACGTTATCAGACCCAGTCAAGAAAAGTCACTCTGAAAAGAAAATGGCTTTCTAGACCGGCGTTTATATGAAATTTTGAAGAATAATTTCAGCCGAAATACTTCTTAGACCGGCAGTTTAGTAAGGTACGCATCTGTTAATGCGCGGTTTTTGCCTGAAGTGGGCAAGAAAAAAGTGACCAGCTGGAGACCAACCCTTCAGCAGTTGTGGCAAAGAAAAGAGTCATCTGGTACTTGAAAGCCTCAACGAGTTCGGCCGCCTTGTCCTTATGGCAGTAAAGAGACCTATTTTGTACTTGAAAGCCCTAACGTATTTGGCCGTCTGGTCGTTGTGATAAAGAAGAAAGCCCTAAAAAGTTTGGCCGTCTGGCCATCGTGGCAAAGAAGAGAGTCATGTGGTCCTTGAAAGCCTTGAAGAGTCTGGCCGTTGTGGCAAAGAAAAGAATCATCTGGTACTTGAAAGCCCTAATGAGCTTGGCCGTGTGGTCGTTGCGGAACAGGACAGATCCATTTGGTACTCGAAAGTCCCAACAAGTGTGGCTGTTGTATTGTGGCAGAGTAGACAATCATCTGGTACTTAAAAAAAACTCCTGTGAGTTTGACGGTCTGCCCGTTGTGGCAAAGAGAGCCGCTGCAGGTGCAGGCGAGATTCAGGATATACGAACCTCGATAAGAAGGTGGCTGCCATGACCTGGGAGATCAGATTGTTAAACGCCCGACAGAAAGACCCACTAGGAAAAATAACATGCCATCAATATGAAAAAAATATATCTGGTAGTTGTGCTACCAATCAATGAAGAATAGAAACGTGAAAAAAAATTGCAGCACCAGTAGTTTTGAGGCTTTCTAAAACGAGGATCGATTAAGAACCAAGAGACTACAACACATACATATCGAAGTCGTGAATCAACTTCCTCCTCCTTCGTGCTCTAAGAAGTAAGCTTTTTCTTGCCCATGTTCCCCAATTGCGATATCCTTAGATCACTACGCAAAAGGGACGTGTCGTTCTCTACTAGGCGAAGCCTTTGAGCAAAGTGGATGTCCAGAAGTTCTTTGCAAAACTTTGCGAACGGTAACAGATGCAGAAAAGTTTACGATGTACGGACCCATAAGTGAAGGTGCAGAATGAATAATACCCAATTACGACAAACGGGTACAAGGATGAAACGATCTGAGGTTAACCAAAGTTTGATAAGCCAGTTATGTCCGAATGAACGAAAGAATTCAAGGATCCGGCTGACTACGAAAAGCTTTACTGATGAGCTGTTTTACAGGGTTCCTCCGAGCTCCCGGCTCCTTACTGGAGCACTGTGTGGCGCAAATCATGAGATGTCGACGCGGGAACAAGGCGAGATTACCAGTCTTCGTCTATAGAGTTGCTGCTTGTAGGTAGACCGACAGCAGGGCACCTCGGAGCACTGCTGCTCGTGATGTCTGACAATGAATAGTGATTAGTACTAGTTAAGCTTAGGGGACGATGATGGATCGCGTCTGATTGAAAATGTCTGGTCTGGTTCGACCGCGTGCAGGCCGAACCGGTGGCCTAGAGTTTGGTACGAGAAGTTCAATCTTAAACTGTTTAATCATAACTACTTAGCTGCTGCTCATATAGGCCGAATCCAAAAGTAGGGTGTAAGGATAAAAGAGGTTCACTTTGAAGCTGTCGCCCCTACATTGTCTTTTCGAAGGCTGGCCTAGGGATCAAGACGCTAAGAGAAGTTAGAGCTGAAACGAGAGACAATAGAAATCTTTTCAACCCCACGGCTGAATAGACAAGCAGTGGATAGTGAAAGAGGCATCGGAAAGACGCGAATTTTAACCATCTGCATATCGTTGTGCAAATGGCAGATCCGATAACAGGAATCTATGATGATAACGGCGGTGTACTTGGTGCAAGCGTCGAACCGAAATCGCACGTATAAACTAAAAATTAAGATTAATCAATTTCAACTTATTTTTGTTAGTAAAAAGCAGTAACGTTCCGAGTGTTCCTAGGCGAACATGCTCGAACGGCGAACGTTTTGTGCTGTTTAGCACAAGCTTAGTCTACAAAATTAGATTTTCTGGAAAGCTCTACTGTTTTCTGTTCTAAGGGCCTCAGCGACGTGAGGCCACTTAGGGCCTCGTTTTAGCTTTCTCTCTCCCAATCGAATCATGTTTGTTAACGTTAGTTAACGTACTGAATCTCATACAATCTCAAAATAACCTTCGTCAGCTCGTTAACTTTGTATAACATAACGCTTTACAAAAAAAGCAGTTTTTCAGAAACCTGTACGTGTCAAACCCCAAGAGGATACTGTTGCTGAAGTTGATTTACCTAGCATAGAATACACAGCAAGCTGTTGAGGTCGCTTCGTCGACCTACCGTAAGATTGGAGGGCGAGTGGGCTGGCGTGTTGTGGAGTGGGGTGGGATTTACATAGTGGGCATCTATAAACCCACTCGTTGGCTGCACGTTCAGTGCCTTTCTCGTAACCCCTACCTAAGCTACCAAAGCCGTCTGCTAAGATGAATTAAGTCCACAGCGGCGACAAACAGTTCAGCACACGCCATTCCACCTGCCTTTAGCCGCATTTGTTCACCTCTCAGTTCGGGATTACACGACACGTCTCGCAAGCAGCCAAGCGACGTACGGGCTTCAGCGGATGTGTACGCCAACTTGCAAACGTCACTGACATAATCGTGGCACCCATTCTCTGCCGGATCACTGCGTTCGAGCGACCACAACTTGTTTCAGTGTTTCCTCTTTCACGTTGAACTCAAATAGATACCCTTAACATTGATCCAGTACCTGTGTTCAGAGTGGTCTTGAAGAGAAAACTTCGTAGAAGGGCCCTTTCTACATCGACTAGTTTAGAATCGCGTCGACTCGTTGTCGCGTCTGCGCTTCGAGAATCCCCCCAACTAACAAAGTCTTCGAGACAGTCAACTCGGAAGTAGAGACAGGGCAGGTGATAACATTCAGGGGTATTAATTATAAAAAGCAACGATACTTTTCCGAAGTCGGGAGGTCCCGGTGGCCGTGTCCAAAGGAGAACAGTTAGGAGATCAGGAAAGCAAGACGACAGCTAAGCTACGGTGGAGCACAAATGATTAGAAATTTTGGGAGACAGCTGTTAAGTATGCTTAGTCGGTACAGGTTGAACCTACATTGATGTTACTTAAATGCCTTTAACATGAGTGTAAACAAGCACCTTTTTTGGAAAGGTCCTTGACTATGCCGTTAGGTAGAACAGATGTACTTGGGGATGTGCCAAAGAAGGTAATATCTTATTAGATCCACGGGTAGTAAACGAAGATGTTGCATACAAAGGCGTTTATGGTTTTCTTTTCGATTTTGTCAACGTAACAGAGTTGGGTGCTGCTTCCAGCAATGCATCATCGTACGTTTGTCTCAATTTGTCCATTAACTTAGCAAACGATTACAATTCAGTCTTCAAATTGAATCATAATCATTTGATAGCCATTGAAAATAGACCGTCAGTAAAGTTCTTATTCTAAACTTTTCATGCGCAGCTCAATACCACGATACAACAATAAGTTTTGGACTTTTTTTTGAACTTGTGATCAACTATGGATAGAAGTAATATATCTACAAGCTGAACATCAATTGATCAAATGCCGTTAAGTCAACGACAATAGAAATGGTAATAGCGAAATCCTTACTAGCAATACTAGTAGATACTAGAAATTAGACGCAACTCTACAAACACATCTACACAACATAAGCTTGTGTTTATAATATAAATATTTATGACAATACATCAGTGATCCGAAATTAGCGATTGTTCGTCCCGGATTCAAAAAGCTAAACAGTAAGGTAACACGGTATGATGTATAGATATAAACACATGGGTTATTTGCCACAAACCCCCGACAGGAAGATAATACGGTCTCAGTACGTCGGCTAGATACGCAGCGAACATAATTTCTGCAGTCACTGTGCACCGTCATTGTGTTAAATACGGACCTAATACTAGTAGTTCTGGTACCATCATAACAATAAAATTAAGCCCGCTCTCTTCGCGGGGTCTTAATATCATGACTTTCGTCATCAGATGTAGGTGAACTCAAAGGTTCCTCAGCATCACCGTCCTGTTCCTTGTCACTGTCCATATTCCTTGGAGTGGGACTCACGTCTGTAGGGGAATATTGCATTCCTTCCAATGCCGACTTCTCAGCCGCCAATGGCGAAAGCTTCTCAACAAACTTCTGTTTCAGTGATCGCGTCTTCGAAACGTCTGTGCTCTTCGGGAAAGATGATCCCTTTTCCGACGAAATAACTATGGGAAGATGGTCCTTTTTTAGCGACGGAAGTCCTGAGGGAGCCTTCTTTTGTGACGGTAATGGCTGCTGAGATTTAATTGGCGTTTTTTCAGTTTGCCTTCTGGTGGATATTTCTTCAGTGACTAGCACGATAAGCGGTTTCGACTTAAGTTCATCAGAAGTATCAGCTACGACCTGTTTCGCTGCGGGCATTTCTGCCTTTAATAAACACGCCTTCGCTGGCGGCTTAGACACCGCCTTTAGTCGCGTTAAGATTTTATTCAGTGGACTAACACGACCCTTTTTTGTTTTAGAAACTGCAGATTTCAAAACATCGGCCAAGTCATTAGTCGATCGATTTTTCTGTGGATTTGCTGCTTCCGCTACAGTATCGTATTTCGACAGAGAACTCTGTTGTTGTACGCGGTAACTTTTGAGACTTTTAAAGCCGTTCATAGTCACAGAAGACTGCTCTACGGAACATTCGATGATTGTAGGATACAGGTTTGGGGAAGACGAGATGTTCTTGTCTGAACTCCCGGACTTTGATTTGCCAGTGCGTTTCGCGGTTAAACCTTTACTGCGATGGGGTTTAGCCTGCTTAGGTTTAGTTTGTTGGGACATCTGTAATATTTCTTTTTCAACCTGCACAATTCGTTCCTCAATAGCCTTCAGTTTCGTCTGTACCTGTTCGTCCGATGTCCTTGGTGATTTATGAGAAGCACGACCTAAGAGCTCCATTAGTCTTGAACTGTACTTTGAAGACTGTAGGAAAACAGCATGGGCAAATATATGACCTTATTATTGATACGATTCTCGCTCAATTCATTCAATGTGGCTTCCACAAATGAACCACTTATCGGCTTGAATTTTCTATTCGTGTACAGCCTATCTGGATGAACGTTTTTCATCAATATCATTAGGATATTTGCCTAATTTTCCCTAAATCAATGGCAGCAATCCAACTTAACCCTTCGCTCTGTAGAGATGACGTAGACGAACTATAGGCAGATTTTTCTCACGATAAAATTATTATATACATTACTCACTTGCTATTTTTATCGAAGTAGCTGCAAACTGACGACTAAACAGACTCATCAACAGAAATAGATAGGGTATACTAAAGGCAATGCAAATTTCACAGTCGCTAATTCCCACCCCAAGGGCACTCCATTCGATGATCGCACCTTTTCGCTGTCAGAGTATTCTTTACTGTACGTATCCAGAACATTGGTAATGTCATGGGCAATTGCAAGCAACTTTTGCCGCTGCTCCAATGAAGGCCGCTGAAATCTTGCGTGGCGTTTTTCTGTCGGACTTGGTGAAATCACCTCTTCCTCCGCCATGGAGAGCCGAATTTTGACCTCGCGATTGCGGCTCGACGTTTCCGTTTCTGCTGCTGTCGAGGACGTTGAATGGTTCGATTTTCCATCGAGCTTCTTGCGACCTTTTCGGGCTCCAGTTGTAGGCGGCCTGTGACGCGGGCAACAACTTACCGTCTGCTTTTTACAAGTACACATAGATGACATTACAACCATGAAAATGCATGGGTAGTTCTTATGTCTATGTTGGCTGCCATACGGCAATCTTTGCGGTCGACAAATTAAACGAATTAGGAATATGGTTCCAGAAGAGAAGTCCAAGCCCTACATCTGACTGTGCCAATATCGATTTTGGGTAGGTTAAGTCTATAAATCAACGCCTAATGGCAGCTAATCTGTATAACACTGATGCACAGCATAAGCTCCATATGGGGTGATCTCGCCGAGGGTAAATGATAGAAAAATAAATTATGTATAGTGTGCTGTAGGCTACAAACAAATGAGGAAGAGACCGATCATGTAAACCTTAATTACAAGCACTTCGACCTAGAAGCTTACAACGTTAATTTGTTTATTTATGATTTAAGATGATAGCACATCGAGGAAATATAGTTAAGGCTTCAGAAGTTACCTATCAACAATTGAGCCTAAGAAGCTTACGTGAGGATTACAACATTTGCGAAGCTTCCTGGATTCAATGGTAACTTAACTGCAAAAGAACCAATTTAAGCCAACTTACTTCAAAATCGGAATTATCTCTTCTGCGTGATCTGCAAGATAAAGAGAAATAGATATAAAAGTGAGCGTACTATCAGTGTTATACTTCCGTGACTCGCCATAACACGCACATATCACGTACGTAATAATGTAGCTACACGAAGCGCTCAGGCAGTCTCAAAGAGGCAAATATTTCAAAGAAATTACTATTATTATCAATATAAGTTGTTTTTCGTATTTTAACATAATCGAACATTACTCTTGTTTGATGTTGCACTGCATACTAAGCACACTGATTCTTCTTTTGTCCTGTTGACAGTAACTTCTGAGATCACGCAACCCATAACAAGGAAGCCAAAAATGTCTTCCGAGTCGTTGAGAAAAAATCTCGCTCCTCGTATAATTACGTCAACTACCCGAACGATCCACATTTTAAGCGGAAAGTTTAATCTAAATTACAATTGTGCACAGTAAGCTTACTCGGACCTTTGAACTCTCTTTTTCCTGATATTTTTTTCTTCGACGTAGGCGTTGCTTGAACGTCTGAAAATTGCAGAGCGTTAAAAATTGTCATCGCTACCACTAGAATACTGTTATTATAGTACAGAAAGTGGCACGGCCGTATGTAGACGGAAAGGAAGTGTTTTCAATGTTCTCTCGGTCTGCTTAACTTCAGGATCCGTGCCCTAAATCTCCAGCGATCATTGGTAGCCCTTAGACATATATGTATTATATATAATACGTCTAACGGCCTATCTATAAGTCTATACCGTCTTCTGCATATATACGTATATATAGTAAGTATAATATCGTTATGATCGGGTGACATTAGTGTAATAACAAAAACAACATCCAATGTTTTACAGCACGGGCGCAAAACCTGAAATGTTTATATCGCATTTACATGTCTAAGCCAAAATACGCAAACCTGATTTCTTATTGGGACGATAGCTTGGGTACAATCGCGTCATGGAACTTTTGAATTTATGCCATTTAGGAAAGCGGCGACACATATCTCCACACGTCAGCTTGGACAACGTGTACTGTTGTATTCTTTGTTGGGACGCCGTATTGGCAACCGTTGGCAATTCGTTGCTGTCAACAAACTACGTCGTTCTACCGCTTCAACAAATGATCCGGCTGGTGGCAACTGATTAAGCTCAATTACGTTGCTATGAGCTCCGATTCACGTTCCCGTCCACCGAATAGCTCGCTGGATATGCGCAATTTATCGCCGAAGAAAAGAGAGAGAGACAGAGACTAATGAAGCTCTCAAGAAGAACTGATAATATCATTTCGAAGATAATTGCAAGCCAACCTCTCGAATAGTGTCTGTTCAGCTTGTTCCTCAAGTACAATGCACAGGTATATGGTTTATGGGAATCCTATTGTGATTCTGGCTTCTCTTTTTTCATCAGTTGCGCGTTCGCTGTTTCGGCTCGCGCTAAGGTCCAATTTTTGTAACAAATAGCATGTAACCTTGGGTAAGAGGTATAAAAACCTGTTAACGCCATTGCGCTTGCAAAATATATCATGGTAAAAATCGCATCTTCTAAAAACTTTAAATTATATCGTCAAACTTGCGTCTATTTTTCTCGCCGCTTCTACGTGTCTACAACATCAGGAGTCTCTATAATGGATTGCACACCGTGAGCGGACCCTTTTGTAGCCGAAGCGCAAGCTTTGGCGACACGCTACACGGATATCCAGGTCAGAGCATGAGTGAAGATACTGCCTCGTCGTTTAATTGTACAATATGCGTCTCTATCCATCTGTTCTTTAGATTCTTGTTTATCATATTCTTACTTTATGCGGATTATTGTATAATGAGAAATTTCTACAATGTCAATTGCGTTTACGTGCTTGGACAGTTTTGGTAGCTTAAGCAAGGTATATAATTTAGATCCCTCAGGGAGGTTTATGAGGATCAAAATGTGCGCTTTTAAGGTCTTTAAAGATACAATGGGTGAAGGTTAACGTTACCCTACTAAGTTCAAATTTTTTTGTGGATGCAAGATTCATGGGGATTGAGAAAAGACTCATTTGGTCCAATGGAGTTTGAAGTTTTTGAAAATATACGGAAAGTAGTGCCCTGTATTCCCGATCTGTTTTTATCAGATATTTCGTATATAGTTATACTGCTGTACTTGCTAGCGTACGGTTCCATAGGACTAATGTGGTTTTATCTTAAACTTCTTTAACACTTGAAATATTTTCTACTTAAATATATGTTGTAATTTTTGTAAATATATGTAAAAAGTGAACTTACCTTTAAGGCACTGGGGAGTTTTCAGCTGCTGTTTTGCGATAGCTAATTACCTTCACTCTCAGCTAAGATTTGTGCGGCGGGATGCAACAATGATTCAATGAATATATCAGGTATAAATTAATACTTCAAGCTTTACGTCTAGTAGGGTCAACTGTCTGAAGTGCTACCTAATAGTTAAAGTGTCGGATATATAGGACGAAAAATACAAATACAGTTGAACAATGCTCTAGATGGCTAGTTTTCATTACAAATCAAAGTTCACTTACGCCCGGCTTCGAACCTAGATTATCATGTGTTTTTAAGTTTCATATGCGAACGTCTTACTACCGTACTATCATGGAAAGTAGATTAAACATTCACTCCACGCTTAGTGGTTCATTTATTTAAATATGGCTAGTTTTTAATATTAATACACCGTTTAGCGGACCTATGCAAATATCAATATACAAATTGCTTTACTGACCTTGAAAACAGGTTGACAGTATACTGTAAACCAACAATCGGCAACATCTGGTAGAAAGAAGCATGACCTAGCGGACCGGGTTTTGGTAAGGGCTGAAGTAGACCCAATTACGCCGTAGGTCTTTTCTTGGATAATCTCCGTAGTAATGCTTCACAGTACAGATCCGGCGACTCAGTTCATATGGAGTGAGGGCTGAGGGCCTGCCTCAACGAAGTAAAGATATTTCAAATGTCTTAGAGGCCGCAGGTCCACCTTCAGCTCTGGAATATCCAAGCTGCTATATGAAGGAAACGATAGCTAAATCAAAGTCAATCTGTGTGGGGTATAATTTTAGCTTGCTCAATGGGATCTAGATAATAGGCCTTCCCGGAGCGTAGTAAAAGATAATGCCCGAATTTCCCAAATGCAAAATTCATTTTTTTCTTAGTCGTACATACATAGTGAAAAGATTTTTATTTATAGAAAAGCAAACACGCCAGAGATAAATATCATCAAATTGACCTTTATAGCCTCCGAGAATTTAGGTAGTATTATGAGTGAAATCAAAATAACCTTGCCTATTTGGGTTTTGACAATACTGTGAAGACAAAAATTACTGGGCTGGGACAAAAATAATGAAGTAGTGAAAATTAATAACGCTCTTCATCAAGTGTTCTCTTTCCGTCTTCACTGTTTGCATCAATGTATCATTCAAGAATGTTTTCTTCCTACCTTGTGTTAATTTTATTGTGCACTGAACAAAATGGTATATCGAGTTTCGACCCCAAAAGAGACATTTTATCGTTTTTGCATACTTTTGACTAATTAAACACGTGTGGCCGAGCACTCCGAGGTATTTATGCCATATAGGGTGTAGACTCTATAGCCTTGCGGAATTTAGTAATGGTATCTTGGAACTCGAGAATATACGCTGCCATGTGAAGTCTACAACGACCGCTTAGAAAGAAAACCTGCCAAGAAAGAGAACTAAAATTGGCCGAAAAGACAAACTTCAGTCAAATAACTATCTTGAATTTATGGGGTTTACTTAAAAACTAGGGTTCTAGGCGCCTTAAATCTGAACGAACGGCTCAAGGAAGAACAGCTTTTAAATTTTCTCTCGACATGCCGCCCGGTGCCGAGCCAGATGCAGCCGTAATAACAGATCTCTGTGCAGAATTGTTACACGTGATAAGACGTAACGTCCCTACGTCAATACAAGGCAAGGAATAAGCAGTGAGGGGAAATTTGCGTTTGGCCAAGCTAGAGGGAACTTATGTCATAATGGTCGGAAACATTGACGCTCAACAAGAATCGATATAAAATTCACTTGTATCGATCAAACAAGGCCAGTCAACAAAAACAAGCTGACAGACAATACTAAATAAATATTGCTAACGAACTGAAATGGATTAATAAATTGGCTGGATGGATAAAATTGATAAATAATTGGCTAAATAAGAAGGCTGTGGGGAGTAATGATAAATGGATAATTCATTAATTTGCCACTTGAGTTCGGATACAATATTGCGTTTACTAGTTGAAAAAAAAACAATACATGTTACATCGATTATATTCGCTATTTAAGGAGCTTCGACGGCGTTTACAAGATGTCTATGATAACGCTAGATTCTAATAGCGGGCGAGTTTCTGGTACTGAAAGTGCCGAAGGAAAGAAAACATTTTCTACGAGAACAATCCGCGGCATGTAAACGCTAATCTAAAAGGGGGTCGCCACCTTGCGTCAAACCAAAGACTGGCGAGATCTATCATTTTTCCAAGAGAAAAAGGTCAAATCTGTCGCGTGACAGGATTTCAAACATGAGTGACGAGCGAGTGTGAGGCTGCAGCCCTCTTTGGGGGTAGCCTTCCACTAGGGTTATCATAAATCATTTGATCTAATGTAGAACGTTGTACAAATAAAATTTTAAATATTTCAGTACCTATTCCGAAGTCAGTTTAATTTTCACACCGCGGAACCAGAGGAAGTGCCTCGTAGTCATTATCTTCTAAGTATCGAAAAGAGAGCAGGCGTCGGTGGCGACGTCTGAAGCGGGCGACCCCATCAAGGGTTGAACCGCAATCGCCGCACATATTTTGGGCTTTGCAGACAGTTCCTGCAGGCCGGAGGTTCCTCAAAGTAGCAAACAAGAAAATGGGAGATGTACTATAAGCAGGACTCCCTGAAGCATCAGGAGCAGGCAAAGCAATAAAGGGACCTGTGATAACTCAAGGCTTCATTTTAGGCTTCTACTGGCCCAAAGTTCTATGTCGGCTTAGGTATATGGCCGAGATTGCAAAATTCCAAAGATCAACTCTCACGCAGATATCGTAAATCTCATTTATTAGGTTATACATGGCCGACGGCCTACAGACGCCAACTTCAACGAGTTGACCGCAATGCGATGCTTGGCAATGCGCACAATTATTCAGTGAATTACGTCCAAAGGCCGACTTTCAGAGAGTAGGTTAACTGTACGTGATTTTTGGCCAAGTTCGTATGGCAAACAGGGTCCTTAGTTTGTGCGCCAAAATAATGGGTACTCACAGAGCCTAGAAGATTACTTTCGAAGAGTAGTGAAATTAACGGACAGCCCAAATGTGTACGGAGTACCGTACAGTAAAAAAAGTTTCACCTTCGGACAGTAGAAAACAAACATTGCAGAGAACAAAAAATATTGCCTGCCTTTATACGATTCCATTATCGGAACGACGAAAAAAGCGAAAATTATTAACGTGGTGTGTGCTACATAATTTTACTTTGACCGTGTTTGCTTAAGCTGAAGACCTGTTTCGCGACAAAAGATAAAAAAAAAAACTGGTGAATTTTATGTACCTCATGGAGGTCGTTTTTTCAGGTGGCAGTTGTAGAAAATGAGGGACACTCCCCAAATATGAGGGGTTATGCTTAAGCCGACGGCTGGTGTTTTGTTTTAATTAACATAAATAAACGTGAAGGAATAGATGTGAAGCAACATGTGATTACCCCCGATTCCTTGCTTCTATGTCCGACAAAAATACTGAATGATATTCTGTCGGTGCAGTCATCTGGATAAATTACTATGGCGGGACGTTATGGTTCATTGTTAAAATTAGCTTAACGCTATCGTTGAAAACAATCGGTGCCACAAGAAAGCGAAAATGAGATTATAACTTCAATCAGTATTTTTGAGAAGACATTAATTAAAGTCACCCACGTCATTGATCCATATAGCCCCAGAAAACGGGATTATCTAGACCACTGGTGATTTCGTGTGACCAACTATGTTAATCAATAAAAGTAAAAAAATGACTTTTTTTTGTAGCGATTATGCCAAGCTACAACTATGGATAGATAAGCCAATGCGCATCTATACAAGCCAATGCTATGACTCGTGTAGCGCAGAAGCTCCGTTGCGTAGTGCAAAGCT